TCATAACTCTATATATACTTGAATACCCATGTTGTGTATATATTCACATATATTCGCATGTATAATCTGGTTTATAATGTATAAACTTTATAATTTTCATCTTTACCATATTAATCATGTCCGTTTTTCATCTTTAATTATATCAAATATTCAAAATAATTAAATATTTTATTCACTTTTAATAATTAACCATATATTCATCCCTTCGCTACCTTTCACAACGTAAACCAAGTTCGTACGTCTTGTGAGTTTCGCCAAAGCAATTACATAATTATTAATACCTATATTTAATTTTTAGTTTATTGTATATCTTATAACATTTTCATTAAATTTAGGGCCTGATGATGGCTATAAACGGCCGAAACGAAATTGTCGACTAAATGACATTTGAAAAGAGAATTTTCACATATTACCGGGCTACAGAAGAAACTTATAAAAAAAATATAAATTTATATATATATACACATACATATATAGAAAATTCCTTATTATCGTTGCATATGCCATGTGAAAGTGTCCCGAAGGACTTGAAATTTTTTTGTAGTACACGTTCTTCATATTAATATATTCGTATTGTTATATTCTTTTTGTGTTTTTATACATTCTGATTAAAGTTAAAATAATTTCAGAATTTATATTTAATAAACATTATATATTAGTTTGTCGTAAAAACACTACAGCTTATTATTTTGTATAACATATATAAAGTTAGAATTTAAACGCTTGTTAAGTTATGCTTTTCTGATTTATCGCGGCGCGCGTGTGCCTAATATTATTGGAAACTCAATAATATATATCGATAATTTCCGATATATGTATATTTTGTATATAAACATTTAATTGAGAGTTTAAAAATTTTCAGTTGATTCAGTGCACATAACTAGAATAAATATAACGGCCTTCGCTCCCTTTTCACGGTCGAACAAGGAGCTTACTTCCGGAGGGGATTTGGAGGGTGATTTTTTATCGAGTCAAAAGTTACGATCGTATATCTACTAATTTCTGAATATTGCTTTTATTTAAAATGTTAAAATTTTAATTTTTTCAATTGTTTTTCAATGTGGTTATTAATTACTTTTATTTGGTATGAATTTAAAAAAATAAAATCGACATTACCGAAAATAATTAAAAGTTGAAAAAATTGAAGTTCTTTGCATATCCCTGCTTCAACCCATAAGAAAGTGTTGTATATTGGTAAATGGGCCTCCTTTTGATTCGGTGCTTCAAATTTAATTATACACTAAATTGATATTAACCGAAATTTTTTTGGTTCAACTCCGGATTTTGTTCCAACCAAAATTTTAGTTTTTTCTTTTTCGATTCGAGACCCCGGCTTGTTCGACATAAATTAACGTTTTAAGAACTACCAATTTGTCTACACTTTGATAGAGAAAAAACAAAATAAACTGTCAAACATTCCTTAGAACCACAAGAGAAAGAAAATGAATGTAATAACATATAAACAAGCGTGATAAAATCATTACAAATTGTAATAGAATTGAAGTTCGTAATAATATGTTTATTTATTGCAAATTTATTTGAAAAATTTAGATTAAATTGCTCAAAAATACCTTTATTTGGGTTGAAATAAACTGGAGACGCACATGTACGTGAGCTTGACGCTTTGGTAAACGATTTTGTAATATATGATGGAGTGCTGGACGATGACTGGGTGCTAAAGACATCTTTTAACGATCCATATTGATTTTGTTTTACATCAAAATTATCTTTGATTTTTTTATTGAAATTTACATTTTCAAAATCAACTTTTTTCAAAACATTATTCGCTTTTGTTTCAGCAACAATAAAAAAGTCAATGTTTAAATTAGTATTCAATTCTTTTATTTGCGAGAAATATTCTGTTTTCGGTTCATTCTCTTTAAAGTTTGGCATTTTATTTAAACGTTGTTTATTGGCTGAAAAAATGTGAGAATCAGGTAACTCTTTTTTGCGACAACAATTACGCTTCGAGTCTTTTATTGACAATTTTTCACTCATATCTTTTTTTTTATAACTGAGGCGGTGACGTCTTGATATAATACTTATTTCAACGTCTTCATTTCCACTACCACTTGAACTTGAAGTTTCGTTAAAATAATTTTTTAAACGCCTTTCTTGTGATTTTACTCGACGTATTTTTAAACGCTCACCTCTGATTTTTCTACTAAAGTCGATATCACTGCCACTATCTGGACTTTTACTGCACAAACTAGAATCTGTCTTAGAAAGAGATGTAAAAATTGATTTTTCGACTTTTCGTTCTTTTTCATTTTCAGATAGAGAGTTTGAAAATGACGTTGATAAATTTTCACTTTCTTCTTGTATGGGGTCTAATCTATTTAACAATTAAAGTGTATAAAATAAAAAATGTAAATTAAACATTTAAAAATATCTTAATACATACATACGTATATAAAAATAAACACATATTACTATTATTATAATTAGAAAATTTATATAGCGCCCTTTAATGCAACTCAAAGGCGCTGCTTTCGTCTGGTGGAATTATCGGGAAAAAAGATCGGTCTTCAAGTCTTTGCGAAACTTCTGAATAGTTAAACCAGGTTTACGGAGGGTGTATGGTAGTGAGTTTCAAATTTGTGGACCAGAAACGGCAAAATTCCTATAAGCCACCATCAAATCTGTTTTTGGCACCGATAAAAATAACTGATCATCTGAGCGTAATTGCAAGTGATGAATAGTTTTCGTTTTGTATAAACACATTCCGGACAAGTAGCTTGATCTTAAACCATTTAAACATTTGAAAACCAAAACGGCCAGCTTGAAGATGATTCTTTTTTTATTTGTGAGCCAATGGAGATCTCGTAGAGTATTACTGACATGGTCGTATTATAACCCTCCGGAAACGATCTTAGCAGCACGATTTTGAATTGACTGAAGAAGGTTAATCAATCGATTTGAAAATCCGTAAAAAATGCTGTTGCAGTAATCTAATTTTGAGTAAATGAATGCGTGACCCAAACATTTCAAGGTGTCGTTATTGACTGATTTTTTTACTTGCCTTAGTTTGCGAACTAATGACTGCATGTTGATCCATTTGCATTGTAGTATCAATTACACCGCCCAGATTTTTAACAAAAACGCAGAACTCAACATTAGAACCCACGATGTTGGTAGAGTAAATATTAATCTTTTCTAATTGCTGCCAAGTACCAACATAGAGAATTTGTGTTTTGTTTTCGTTTAGATTTAGTTTATTTTCTACCATCCATTCACTTAAATCATTAAAACAACATAAAAATCTATCAACCATCGCATCGAAACCCAGATCCGTGTTGCCGCAACCAATTATTTGCAAATCATCCGCAAAGGCTTAGTATCTGAAACCATATTTTTCAATAATAGGAAAAACATCGGCCGTGTACAATATAAATAAAAGGGACCTAAAAACAGAACCTTGGGGCACACCGGAAATAACAACTTCGACATTGGACAGAAAATAATTGAAACAAACCTGTTGCGTTCTACCAATCAAATAGTACTCGAATCATGAAGCAACCATACCCGCAACATCAAAACGACATTTGATTTTATGAACAAGGAGTGATTGTTTGACGCAGTCAAACGCAGCGCTCATATCTAATAAAGTAAAAAGTGAAACATTTTGTGAATCCATAGATGCAAACAATTCCGAAGAAATATTGATCAGAGCAGTTTCAGTAGAGTGATACTGCCTGTAACCAGACTGATGGATTGGAATTAAACCATGCACATTCAAATGATTTAAAAATTGTTTTAGAACTAAACGTTCTACGACTTTTGATAAAAACAAGAAGTTGGAAATCGGGTGATAATTTGCAATATCATTCTTATCAAGAGATGACTTTTAATAACGGAGTCACAATGACATGTTTTTACGCCTTAAGAAAATAACCAGTGTCAAAACACAAATTGATAAAAAATGTGAGAAACGGTATGAACAAATCTATATAGGTATTGTTTGAAAATACGCACAGGAATAATATCATGGAAAAATGTCATTGATAGTGAACAGAGCACAACTTTAATTTCATCACCAAACATGGAATAAAAAAACTGAACGAGTCAGACAACCCTAAATCAGCAGGAGCACTGGGAACCTCAAGCCAGGAATCTGTGTTCTCCAACTTTTTTAATCTTATCAATAAAAATGCTGCAAATTGTGATTGGGTAAACTTTATATTAAATTTATCGACCGAATGACTGGTGGAAAATTTACTTAATAATTTATTAATGGTTATCCACATTTTTTAGGACTAGATTTATGAACAAGAATCAAATTTTTGAAATACAAATTTTTTGATTCAGTGTAAACAAAATTTTTTGAAAACATAGCCTTTTTCTAGGCAACTTTATTAACATTGTTAGGGTTTTACGATATGCTTTTTCCAATTTACGGCAAGCTCATTTCATACGTCTACATTGATCATCAAACCAGGAAGCAATGTGAATATCAGTGGACTTAACGTAATGCAGTGGAGCCATTACATCAACAATTGATTGCATCTCTTTGACAAACAAATCGTAAATAACATCGGGATCTTTTAAATCAAACGGACCATCAACCCGACAACAAACCTGAACAACTCAAAAATATCCAACAATTTAATTGCATTTAATTCATTACATCTTTCAATGTGATCATTAAAATCACCGGCAACAACAAAAAAATCAGATGAAACAGAAATGTCTTCTAAAACCAATGTCAATTCATCAAAAAAAAAACAATGCAGAAAGTGGAACAGAACCAGGTCTGTAAATGGCTAACGAAACAACTTTTCACTTATTTATAAAGAAACTTGAAGTGATGGCTTCAAAACTCTGAATCGGGGGAAGTTCAACTTTTTTCAAAATGAAAAAACTTTAAAAAAATAATTATACCACTAATTCTCATTACCAGCCTCCTTGGTTTTAGCCTCAGACACCAATAAATTGAGCTCAGTACGTTGCCCTGGAGTCAAATCATGGCTAATTTTAACTTTATTTAATTCACCGTCGAATTACTTTATTTTAAAAGACGCTCTCAAAATCAACAATTTGAATGTTGCGTCACTGAATCTGACGATGACAGGTCGACAAATTTTGTCGCTTTTTCTTCCTTGTCTTGAAACTGCCAAAACATTGTTGATATTGAAAGCATCACCGGCTAAGGACTTTAAAAGAGACATAACAATATTTCTATCTTTTGAGACAAATTCACTTTCAGACAAATTAAATAAAACAATGTTGTTTTCACGTTCTTTATTATCATTAACTGTGTCTAACGTCTTTTTGACAGTTTTCATTTCATTAGATACAGCATCATTATTTTTCTTGACAAAACTGAACCAAGTCGTGCTGTGTTTATTTTTTAAGTTGCTAATAGATTTGTCGAGCAAATCATCTGCATTTGATATTTGGCTTAATTTTTCTCGGCTTAAATCTAGGGAGGTTTTGAATTGATTCAATTCACGCATTATATTGTCATTGCTTTCTTCAAGTTACTTTATCTAAATAAAACATTCTTCTTGTTTTTCAATAAGCATGTTGACAGTGTTGAATGACTCGAAAAACTTTAGACATTCGACACAGTACGAACATTTTATGCCTTCCAAAGGTTTGCGCATTATCTCAGCGCAATAACAACATGTCTTAGACATTGTATAAACGATCTTTGGTAACAGACAGGTAAAAGTAATTATTGAAGGTGGCCTTCAAACATCTAATAAATGTCCACTAACTTGTTATCTTTAAATAAAAACAAATCAAACGATAGTTCTTACGACTTAATTCTTTAAATTAAACTTAACTGAACTAAATATAATTTTAATTCAAATTAACGTAGTTAATCAACAAAATATATAAATCTACCAGAGCAAAAATTTAAAAGTGTGCGTGCAATTAGCAACGAACCATGTATATATATATACACAGTTATTAAGAAATATCACCGCATTTACAGCATTGTTGAGTTTGTAACTAAGTTTTTCAATTTTCCGAACAATTATTCTATCATTATTATTATTGCAATGCTAAACCAGAGTCGATAATGAAGAGCAGTCATTTAGTATATTCTTTCGAATGTAAAATCGATGATTGTAGGCATCGAAACACAGAATATATCGGATTTACTACTACGATTTTATCAAGAAGGTTAACAATGCATACACAAAATTAGGGATGCACCGAAGTTCGGCCTCGGCTCCGGCCAAAATCCGGCTTTTTTTTCAAATCCGGTCGAATCCGGATAATTAAAATACGGATTTAAGCGTCTATCAACTTTTAAAAATGTTATAAATAGAAAAAAAAATTTTATTGAATTCAATTAATTTTATGTCAATAAATTAAAGGCTAAGGCTAAGCTAAAGGCATACATGACACATAATAACAACATCACTAATTGTGAGGTGATCTGGACAATTTTCTTTATGCTATAACATGGATTATGCATAAATTATAAGCTGATCTTTGTGTAAAAAAACTTGTGCACGTGTATATACTATATATTGATAATTGCAGATGACGGATCATATAGCTACATAATATATATATATATATATATTTAGAGAGAGAGAGAGAAAGAGAGAGAGAGAGAGAGAGAGAGAGAGAGAGAGAGAGATGCATAAGCACATAATTTAAGAACATGGTATGTTAAAGGTTAGGCTAGGTATACATTACACATAATTACAACATCACTAATTGTGTTTTTGAATTTTAAATCCGGCCAAGTCCGGCCGGGGCATCCGACCTGAATTCGGTGCATCCTACACAAAATGGTGCAATAAAAAATCATTTAATGGATTCGTACCAAATAAAAATAACAAGAGAAATATCAAACTCAAATACCAAAGTGTTATATTACAATATAAGTAATTTGAGAATAGCATGGGCTTTATTAATAAAAAATAGAAACCCTGTAATAAACAACCAGCAACAAGCTGTAACGATCCTACCAACAAAGAAATTACTCACACAAAGAACTTTGTAAAAAATTCCTTTGTAAAGAATACTATAAATACCTGATGAACTACATATAACAATATCACAAACTTTATTACACTGATGATGATGGTAAAGGTTACCGAAAAAAGCTTTTATGTAAATGTATAGATGAAAAATGCAGTCTAAAATAACTAGAAATTTTATTATTAATTCGAATAATAATGATAAAATAATTGTTCGGAAAATTTAAAAACAGTTACAAACACAACAATGCTGAAAATGCGGTGATAGATCTTTATCTTAATAACTGTATAAACGACAGTCTGATCTAATATATATATATATATATATATTACAGCATTCAATAAATTCTACCGTTTTATATATATATATATAAATTCTACCGTTTTTTCGATTTTTCTCACTAAAGTTTTATGGTGGACGTTTAGTTTATTAAAATTCAAAATAAACTTATTTTTCGAATTCATGCTGCAAATAAGGCCCCTTGGCGTCCTATTTGCCAGTTTTTACCTAAGAAATCTGGAGAATGAGACATTCAAAAACAATGCAAATTTAAAACCAAAAATCTACGCTAGATACGTTGATGGTATCTTTGTCTCCTATAACGATCCTGAACAAATCACCCAACTTCTTGGTACCTTAAACAAATCAAAACTAAGATTTACCATTGAAATTGAAAAGGAACAACGTTTACCTTTCTTCGATGTGTTGGTCACCCGTGGCGAAGAACGATTCAAAACTGCGGTCTATGTCAAAGAAACAAATACAGGAATTTGTTTGAATGGACAAAGTGAATGTACCGAACAATTTAAAGACAGCACAATAAAATCATTTGTAAACCGGGCATTCACACACTCTTCCGATATTGAAAATCGCAACGCTGAATTAAAAAGAATCTCTAACCTGCTTGTAAACAATGGATAGAAGACTTATTTGGCCTTATTTGCAGCATGAATTCGAAAAATAAGTTTATTTTGAATTTTAATAAACTAAACGTCAACCATAATACTTTAGTGAAAAAATCGAAAAAACGAACTACAAACATATTAATGCCAAACATTCGTTAGAATTTATTGAATATTGTAAAAATTATGGTCTATTACCAATATATATATAAATTTTTAAAAATAGTTTGCAACAAGTTCATCGTGAAGAATGGAGATGTGCTTTGAAAAATAAATCAAGACTCTTTTCAGAGAAACGTCACAAATATTGGACTAGGATTGTCGAGGAGAACAAGACAAAATCTAAAAATCTTTGAAAAGTTTTGAATAAAATTCTCTGCAGAGATCATAATGACAATCATTCTTCTAGTATGCATGAACTTACGCCGGATCGATTTATGTCCATCTTCAACGACAAACTGAGTAAGGTTATAGACAGCATCGAAATCAAAGTTCATTTTAACTAGTCTGATTGCAGATCTAATTTCAAAAATTTGTTCGCAACATTTTCAGATGTTTCTGAGGAAGATATAATCAACATAGTAAAAAATTCACCAACAAAGTCTTCTCAACAAGATGCAATACCGACTCACATACTCAAAAAGTTTATTAATCTATTTTCACCATTTTTGATATGCCTTGTCAATATGTGTTTAAATCAAAGTAAATTTCCCTTTGTTTGCAAACATGCTATAATAACTCCACTACTGAAAAACCCAATCTTGATGAGAATAATGTTGAAAACTATAGACCGATATTCAATCTGTCTTTCATATCTAAATAATCAAACGTATGATTGTTAAACAGATACTCACTCACCTAGAGAATAATTATTTAATGCCGATTTATCAATCAGGTTTCAGGCAATATCACTCAACTAAAAAGGCTCTATTAAAGGTTCTGTCTGATGTCTATGGGGCTATCGATCAACAAAATACGTCTATGATGGTGTTCCTCGATATGTCATCCGCATTTGATTGTGTAAATCACAAAATACTTTTAGAGAGATTGTGTGTTACTTTTGGATTTTCCGGTGCTGTGTTAAGGTGGTTTGAATCGTATTTGGTTGGTAGAACTCAGCAGGTATCATTTGGTGGTAAAGTGTTCGATGTCAATATAGTTTTGTCTGGTGTGCCCCAAGGTTCGGTTCTGGGTCCTGTCATGTTTCTTTTGTATACATCTGAAGTATTCAAAGTAATCGAATCATTTGGTTTCTCATATCATGCTTTTGCGGATGACATACAAATCATTGTTACAAGTAGCCTGGTACTTTCCGGGTCGAATTGGACAGATTGATTGAATGTTTATCAAAGGTTGATTTGTGGATGCAAAACAATGTTCTTAAACTGAATCAGAGTAAAACGAAACTTTTGCCGGTAGGTACGTGGCAACAGCTTTTGAAGCTAGAAACTGATTCAATCATTATCAAAAACAATGTCATCCCGTTTTGTCAAAAAGCTACTAGTCTGTGATTTATTCTAGATTCCAATTTGTCAATGAAAAATCACATTAGAATGCAAGAATGAATCCGTTGAATGCAAGCTCAATCAAATACGTAGATCTCTTGACACCACTACGTTGCAGACTCTGGTTCATGCCTTCGTGCACTCACGAATTGATTATTGTAATAGCCTGTTTTACGAATTACCTGATAAACATTTAGCTGTATTACAATCATTGCAGAATCGTGCTGCAAAGGTTGTTGTCGGCAGTTTAAAATATGATCACGTATCACCAATACTGAAACAACTGCACTGGCTAACCGTAAAAAAAATTTTATTCAAAATATCAACTCTAGTCTACAAGTCAATAAATCGTCTTGCACCATCTTATTTGTCAGAAATGTTTGCAAAAAAGTTGGCACCTCCTTCTGGAACGCATCTGAGGTCTCATGATCTGAACCTGCTGCTAGTCCCAGTTTCGTGTCTTCATATGGGGTATCGTAACATCGCCGTCTCGGGACAGTCTGTTTGGAACAATTTGCCGGTTTTTCTAAGAGATCCGGAGTTGTACCTGCCTGATTTTAAAAGGAAACTGAAAACTTACTTATTTTCGTCGTAATTCATTGAACTTACTTGTTCAATGAATCACTTGTTGTGCCATGTAAGGAAATAATGAAGATTGTTTTTTTCTTATAATTTTTTCGTTGAAATGCACTGATAAACCTTTATTTTTGTTGATTATGCCATGATATTTTTTTGATGGCGCTTTTGAAATCCTTTGAATTAGCGCTTTATTAAATTTTTCATTAATAATATATATATATATATATATATATATATATATATATATATATATATATAGGAACGAGGTTCTCTTTAATACAAATGTCATTAAAAATGGTTGCCCAGCGTGCGTTTATAATCTTTTTTTATTAAAACCTCAACACTTCTGAGTTTGTTGAATTCATATTTATTGAGAGGAAAATTATTATTGAGCTTGGCTGACAGTACTGTTTCAGAGTTAACCATCGTCGGAGCCTATTAGATCAAAAACACATAGTCAGAAATGCAAAATTTGAAATAAAATATTAAGTGAAATTTAAGTAAATGAGCAGTTGAATTAGTAAATTAAATATTAATTAATTTAAAATATGAGAGTAACCTTCGAATATTAATGATATTATATATATATAAGGAAATATAAATGAAATTACCAAGATAATAAAATTACGATAACTGAGAAACGAAATGAAATTATAAAATCGGAAAATAATATAGTAAAGTTAGTATTAAGAAGCAGGTGGACGTACGTGAATGCAAAATATGATGTAATTATGGAAAATCGTTTGATGTGAGAAATTGGTGAGAATTGAAATTATTGAAATTAATGAAATTAAATCAATCAATCTTCGTTTTGGGTCCAGAGATCCGGTTTCCCGAGGTAGGACGTTGTTTTCTTTGCCATCAACTTTTTGCGCCAAATTAGACGATCAGTTGTATCCATTTCATTTAAATTTAGAGCTTTCATGTCTTGCTCGATTGTTCGCGACCAGGACTTCTTTGGACGGCCTTTTGGACGTATGCCAGGTACTTCAACATCTGCCAGAAAAGTTATGACACTGTTTCCACTTCGTTTGACATGACCAAACAACCGCAGACAGTGTTGCTGGCATTCGTCTTTTATATCATCTAAACCAGCACGACGCAGAATTTCGGTAGATTTGATGTGGTCCTTTAGACTAATTTGTTGCATCCATCGGAGCATTTTCATGTCGGTTCGTTGAAGTTGTTGTTCCAGTTTGGTTGTCATTGGCCATGTTTCTGCACCATATAACAACACCGGACGTATCACAGATTTATAAAGTCTTGATCGTAGTGGTAGTGGGATGTCACGCCGCATCAATATAGAGGCCAGGAGATGCCATTTATTCCAGGCTGCACGTATGCGTGCTCGAACGGCAGCTTCAGCTGTTCCTGTACAATCCAGGACATCCCCTAGATATTGAAACGATGTGACTTTCTCTATTTTAATGGCTTCAAAAACAGTGCTATTTCGAATTTGTTGTTGTGGATTGATGCAAGCAGGACAAACAAAATTGGACACTTTAGATAAAGTACCAATTATTTTTGAACAACGTTTGTGACACCACTGGTTACACTGCTGACACTTGATTGAATTGTTACCTACACCAGCTTTACAAACTGAACAGGGCCATCGTCCAGTAGCTGTGGATTGGATGGGTTCACCAGTGTTCATTGCTTTGGTTTTGCTGATGTTGACTTTGAATCCATGATCGGCAAGTCTGGTGTTCCAATCTTCAAACATCTGTGCTGCATTCTGCTCAGACGTGGCTGTTAAAACGATATCATCAGCATATACTAGATTCCAAATGTCACCAGTGCGTATCGGTTTTGTGATTTCTTCCATCACAGTTATAAATAACAGTGGACTGAGAATCGAGCCTTGGTGAACTCCAACGCCGATGTCAAATGCATCTGTGTTTCCAACCGTTGTGCTAACAAAAGTCTTAGTATTCGTATACATTTCCATCACAAGTCAAACAAGATATTCTGGAATGAGTTGTCGACGTAGACTCCACCTGATTGCTTCACGGAGAACTCGATCAAATGTTTTTTCAAGGTCCACAAAAATGTGTGATAGTTGTTGATGCTTTGCGAGATACTTCTCTTGCAGTTGCCAAAGGATGTGAATTGCATCAACTGTTGATTTCCCCGCTAGAAAACCAAATTGATAATTTCCGATTGTGATGCACGACGTTAATCTTCTCTCAATGATTTTTTCGAAAATTTTCAGCGAGTGTTCTAACAGACGTATACCCCGATATGATGAACAGTTCAATGGATCACCTTTGCCTTTGTATAGCGAGACTGTCATGCTATAGTTCCATTCAGTCGGCATTGAAAAGTTTCTCCAAATTTCACGGCAAAGTTGTAGTAACGTTTGGATACTTGCAGTACCAAATGCTTTGATAATGTCATTTGTGAGTCCAGAGGGCCCTGCTGCCTTTCCATCCTTCATAGCTTTCCGAGCTTCTGTAAGCTCCTCTACAGTGATGTCTGGAATCGGACTTTCGATGGGTGGAGCGTCAAAGTTAACATTGATGGGATTTCTTTTGTTTAACAGACGATTGAAGTATTTTCTTCACTGTAGCTTGATCTCATCTTGATCAAGAGCCATCTCATTTTTGTCGTTTTTGATACATGAGGCACCAACTATGTCTTTTTTCGTACGCTTTGCTTGTTTTGTTATACGATGCAGAGATTTCATTTGTTCACTTTTGCTTTTAGTGAGCCACTCTCTGCACTGATCTGTCCGTGCCAGTGCAACTTGACGTCTTGCATAGTTGATCTTCTTACGGAAAATTTTATGGTCATCTACAGATTTTGATTTTTGCCATTGCTTGTATGCAACTTTCTTTTCAGCTATTGCATTTTGTACACTGTTATTCCACCATCACGTATCCCGTTCATGCTGGCGTTTTCTACCAGTTTTCCCACAAACTGTTGTTGCAGCGTTCATTAAAACGGTTTTGTATGTACTCCAATCTGTACTGGCTTGCGATTGGTGGTCTAACTGTGTGGCGACAATCTGTTGAAATTTTTCTCGATTAATATTGCTTTTCAGCTTCCACGTTTTGATTCTCCGAGGCATTTGTTTAGACTTATGTTTTGACAATTCGACAACCAGGTCTGCAACAAGGAGTCAATGTTGGGCGACACATGATTCGCCAGGTATAACTTTGACATTTTTGTATGTTATGAGATGTTCCAACCTCTTTCTAAAATATGTGTTCAGTAAACAAAACCCGTGACTTTCAGCAAACTCAAGGATGCCGTTGCCATCTTCATTCCGTTTTCCATAGCCAAAACCGCCATGTACGTTGTCAAAATCATCTGTTTTCTCTCCAACGTGGCCATTGAGATGGCCTCCAATCAGGATTGTTTCAGATTTTGTTATTGTTGAGATGGTGTCAGAGAGTGCAGTCCAGAAGTTATTTTTCATCTTTTCTGATTCGCCTGTTTGTGGTGCGAATGCAGAAAAAATAATCATTGTTTGCTTTTCTATGCGAAGCTTGATCCACATGAGACGTGAATTAATCCTTTTAATATCCAGTACTTTTTTGGCTAGCGGTTCTCTGACAAAAATTCCAACACCATTTTTGGCCGTCTTTTAACCATTCCAGAATAGTTTATATTTTTCTTTGTCTGAGTTGACATGACAGACACCATTCGATTTTCATTGGGTTTCCTGAAGGCAGTAGATGTCAATCTTTCTACGCTCGAGCACTTCTGCGATTTCCGTGCTGCGGCCAGTCAGTGATCCAACATTGAGCGTTCCAAGTCTAAGTACCATAGAGGGGCCATTCTGAATTTTTCTGCAACATCCCTCCGCTATTGCATACTTCCCAGGGATTCTTGGCACTCTTTGACCACTTAGGCCTGCTGGGGACTAGGAGCCATTGTTTTTCTTTGTGATGGCATAGGAATAATTTGGGGAAAAGTTTTTACATCCGGACACCCATCCTGACGACAACCACCAGTTATAAGCGGTGGGCCTAGTCTTTTGCTCAAAAGCACGCAAGGCAGCGTGGATGCAGATTTATGTCATACCCAGGACATAAATTAATGAAATTAAAGGAGATGGAAAAATATTGTAAATTATACGTGAAAGTAAGGAATTAAAATGAAATAAAATAATTAAAAGTGAACAATATTAGCATGAAAGATAACATAAAGTGTTAAGAAGATGAATCATTCTTGAACAGAGAGGCCAACGGAACCGTAACACCGGAACCGTACATCGTGCGTATAAGACATCTTCTAATAATGCTTTATTCAGCAACGAATTGATTAAGATAAAACAACTCTTAATCAACAACAATTATCCTAATAAGTTGATAGACACTATTTTTTGTAAATACGATGAAAAAAATCAGTGGCCCGGATGCAACATCGCTATCATCACCTGTAACAAAAACAATCGTCCCCATTTATTATTTGAATCAAATGCATGATAAATATAAAATAGACGAATTGCAACTCAAACAAATTATTAAATCCAATATTTCAATGTGTAAAGACGATCATCATTTAAAACTCACTATATATTACAAAACAAACCGAACATCAAATTTGATAATAAAAAATAGTACCAATAACATTAAAGACATCCTCGAACAGAGCAACGTTGTGTACAACTTCACTTGTCCTATTCCGCACAGTGTTGTGGAGAATTACGTTGGGCACACTCGTACCACTCTTTCCAGACAACTCACATCACATCTTCAAAACGGTGCTATCAAGGACCATATGCATATTTCTCATAATATACAAATTACTAAGGATGTACTACATGCCAATACAACAATAGTCGATCGCGATTCTCATCCTTTGCGCCTTAAGATTCGCGAGGCACTCTACATCTACACTAACAAACCTACCATCAACAAACAATTTCACAAATTCGATTATACACTTCATCTCTATTCCCAATACCGAGATGACATCACACTAGGGTCAATTCCCGTTGTTGTCGGTATTGGCCACGAACCTCGGCGTTTCGATCTTCAACCTATGCCGAACGATGTAAAAATGATCAACGTCGAAAATGTGACTTCGTCGTGCAACCGGTGTTACGGTTCCGTTGCCCTCTCTGTTCGAGAATGATTCATCTTCTTAACACTTTATGTTATCTTTCATGCTAATATTGTTCACTTTTAATTATTTTACTTCATTTTAATTCATTATTTTCACGTATAATTTACAATATTTTTCCATCTCCTTTAATTTCATTAATTTCAATAATTTCAATTCTCACCAATTTCTCACATCAAACGGTTTTCCATAATTACATCATATTTTGCATTCACATACGTCCACCTGCTTCTTAATACTAACTTTACTATATTATTTTCCAATTTTATAATTTCATTTCGTTTCTCAGTTATCGTAATTTTATTATCTTGGTAATTTCATTTATATTTCCTTATATATATATAATATCATTAATATTCGAAGGTTACTCTCATATTTTAACTTAATTAATATTTAATTTACTAATTCAACTGCTCATTTACTTAAATTTCACTTAATATTTTATTTCAAATTTTGCATTTCTGACTATGTGTTTTTGATCTAATAGGCTCCGACGATGGTTAACTCCGAAACAGTACTGTCAGCCAAGCTCAATAATAATTTTCCTCTCAATAAATATGAATTCAACAAACTCAGAAGTGTTGAGGTTTTAATAAAAAAGATTATAAACGCACGCTGGGCAACCATTTTTAATGACATATATATATATATATATATATATATATATATATATATATATATATATATATTTTTACAATATTCTATAAATTCTACCGAATGTTTGGGGTTAATATGTTCGTAGTTCGTTTTTTTCAATTTTTCTCACTAAAGTTTTTTGGTGAACGTTTAGTTTATTAAAATTCAAAATAAACTTATTTTCCGAATTCATGCTGCAAATAAGGCCATATTTTGGCTTTGTCAAAATGAATTTAGATGGAGGATTCAACAAAGCGCACAAACATATGAATATATGCTAAACGACGTATATATATATATATATATATATATATATATATAAATAATATATATATATATATTATTGTGTTAATTCTACCGAATTTTTAGCATTAATCAATTTAAAGTTTGTCTTTTCAATTTTCCTTTTTAAAATTTTTTGGAAATTGTTCAATTTGTTGAAAATAAAATTATCCAAGTTCATCATAAAAATTTAATGAAACTGTTATCCGAATTCATCAAGCAGATTAGGCCTTATTTTTCATAAATCACATTCAATGCATGTTTGATTTATATAGTTTTTTAAACAATGCAAAGTTCTTCAGCAAAGTTTATTAGATGGTATCGTATTTTTCATCTTTGTTGTTGTCATTCTTTTGTTTTTCATTGTTATTGAAGTTAATATTAAAGCGTCGAGTTGTTAATGATGTTATCATTCTTTGTTGGATGTTTATTTGAGGTTTATTGATATCTATTAGGACAGCTTCTGCAATTTTTAGATGTAATGTGTTGGTGTTTTGATAAATTATTTTTGTCAAGAATTTTCATAAACCACAATCTGTCCAAGAGACAGGCTGAAGAGGCATTCCTCAAACGGCAGGCACGACGCCTGGCAAAATCAAGCGGTGACAAATTCAAATTAATGATCCAATTGTGATGTCTTAAAATTATTGTAGTATATCCTGAGTTTTATTTAATAGTATAATTGATTGGTGTAACATTTCTTTTTATGATTTGTTTGAAGACGACTTTTTCTATTTCTATAGAATGGTCTTATGGGCGGCGTGATGGTCTAATGGTTAAGGTCGCCTGGTGCTGTTTCGCAGTAACTGGATTTGAGTATGACAAAAAGATTCCCGCCCATCACATACTTCGTGTGTGATGCGTCGTTTAGCATATATTCATATGTTTGTGCGCTTTGTTGAATCCTCTGAACTTTGAAAGAGTGTAATTGATCTTTAATCTTTTTTAGCCTATTTCAGGTGCCTATCCAAATGTTTAAGTGTTACAACGATACTTATATCTGTGCGTTCCTGCTTTATTGGCTTCAAAAATTTATTTGGCGTTCCTATTTTATTTGCTCTTATAATTCAATAACTTTACTACCATCAAAGAAACTACTAATAAAAAAATAGATCAACGCAAAGCGAATATGTACTAATTCACCTTAAATCAATCGACAGCATTACGATTCGGTTTCACAACGAAAATTTATTTTTGAAAATCGACTTCCACCGCTTTCCAAAATTTTTGCTAATAAATTTTTTCAGGCTAGCAACGTTACAAGATGGTGAACGGCGATGTACTCTCCTGCTACCCAATGTTTAAAAAAACATTGGTCAAACAATAGGCATCTCTGACCATCCAACTTACTTTTGGTGTCGTGTTGAAAACAATTATACCAGTGAACTGATGAGTCCCATACACTACTGATGAGTCCCATAAAAGACAAAACGCGTCTAGCCTAGAACGGGTTAGGTGTTCACAGTAACGCACCTTTGGTCGTGGTGAGTGATGGTGTATTATATGTACTTGTACTGGTCAACCGTACTTGCGGGAGCAGGTGAGAAATTCTCACAATATATATACATACATACATGGTTCATACATATTGTAATGGTTCTACCTATTTTATTAATTGTTTATAATAAATTTTATTACCATTATTTTTATATTCTAAGTCGTAAATTATTTCTTTTTTTCGTTAAACATTCGTTTGGCATTATTTTGGGAATAATGAAAAAATATGTATTAAGTATAGCATTGCAAAAAATGCACTTTTTTGTCAAATTAGCAATTATTAGAAACTCGATTTTTTATCTAAAATATAAATTTTCACAAGCAAGCCATTAAATTTAAAAATTACATTAACCTCTTGGCTTTAAATCGATAAATGGAGTTTTCGTCGTCACTGCTGCTACTGTCAAAAAATCTTAAACTGTCATCACCAGCCAACATAAAGTCATCACCATCTTCGAATGAATAAACAATGCTGTTGTTTTGGCAATTGGTAAGAAAATTGTTGCTGTCTTCCATTTTTGATTTTTCGTTTTGAATATAAGAGGTGTATTTGTTATTTGATAATGGATTTATTATGGTTGTTGTATTGTTTTCGGTAAAGTTTATAGAACTAGACAGACTAAAAGATTTGGTATTTAAATAATTGTGTTGTGTAGAAAGCTGCTCAATTTTGTTCCATATGTCCTTTTTTGTTGAATTATTTTTTTCAAGTTTAATTTTTTCATTATATCCTTCATAGTTATTTTTTAAATTCGATGCACCACTGCTTGCTTCAAGTTTAACATTTCTATTATACGCACTATTGATCTTTTCATGATTAAAAACTGAATCCACATTTTCATCGCTAGCAGAATCGTCAAAAACATCATCTATTGAAACTATGCTGTAATTGTTCATGCTCTGAAAAATATTTATTATTTTTACTATTTGCATTCAAAGGTTGTTTGTTCCTGTTTAAAAAAATTCAAATCAATTTTCATAATAAACAACTAATTAAACAAAAAATTAGATAAAATGAACTTAAGTTTTTGATAACCGAGTTTTTCACATTCAACTCCAATTTTTGAAAATCAACATGGAATGAAGATTAGTTCTAAAACAATTTGTAATCAAACGACTTACAACATTTTGGACAGTAAATACAGAGATTATAATTTAGCTAGTTTTTTTCAGTTTTGACAAGAGCGGAAGAGATATGGCTTTTTACATTTTTAGCTATAATTAAATTTTATACGAAAGAGATTGTAAATTCTTAATCGAATGTATTCGAACAAAGAATAACAATAAAAAAAACGGACTTTGCCATCTGAGTTAAAGTATTGATTAAATATTAGCATTGCGTAATTCATATTGTTATAACTGTCCCGGTCGACGACGAGTTCGTTATCCCCAATGAAAAATAACGTTCAGAAACTATCGCTTTCTTAATAACAATTCACTGACGCTTTTCGCAAATACAATAAAAAAACAACGCAGAGTCAAATATTAAATATTGCTTTTGACACTAACAACCAATCGTTTTCCAACATCAAATATTCAACAACTCCCATTCAATATCTCGCACGTTTTTATATACCCGTCTTACCGACGTTTCTCGCGAACGTCAACGATATCTTGCTGTCAGAAGGTACTAGTTTTTTCTCGAACAGTATGCGTTCGTCGCGACACTTGAGCCTCTAGCAAATATATTTGTGATGGTTGTAACACTCCCTTTCTTTGAGTTCTGTTCGTCTCAAACAGAGTTTGTTGCAACGTCTGCATAGAATGGAGCCAGTTTGTCCAAATGAACAATCCTCATTCTCGCCCGCGACTTCCAATGTTCTTGAATTCGTTAGACGATGTCGTTCAATCGAATTATGATCTGACAATGTCCTTCTCAATCTCGTTGATGCTTTGGAGACCGTTTTTTTTTCCGATGAGAGTTATACGGCCTTACCAAATCGTTGGCGTTAGAACCTGCAATGTTTCCGTTTAGATCGTATCTGGTCTTGGTTGTTGTGCTGTTCTTTTTTAACTTTAGGTGCGTGTATTGGTGGATGCTATTTAACTGCTGATGGAGATTGTCCACATAATCTGTTATTGATTGTAGGGCCTTAAGTAGTACGCCATATATTATATCAGCTGGGGTTCTTATTGTACTTCCAAAAAGGATATTTGAGGGAGCCTCCCCAGAGTTTTGTGGATGGAACTTCGATATGCCATGAGAAACATGGGCATTTGTCGATCCCAGTCCTTTTTTTTGGTTTTCGTCAACTACATTCGCCATATGTTCAATTCGTGCTTGTTTGAAACCTTCCACCATCCAATCTGACTAAGAGTGGAGAGGAGCGGTTTTTGTCTTTTTTATACCCAGTAGTTTACACAGCTCAACAAACAGTTACGACTCGAAGTTTCGACCTTGGGAACACTATACCGACTGATTCAGTTTATTACAATCTCTTCGGCGATGGCACAAATCTCTTGATTTAGTATCGGATACACTTCCGGCCACTTGTTAAATATTTCTGCAATTTTATTCCTAGGTACCACAATCTGCATGCGATGTTTCGATCCAACTGTTGATTTCCATTTCCGTTTAATCAACCCATTTTCCAAATGCAAGAAGTCTCACTGAGCCCAGTAGTTTTTCAAACGACCAACCGAACTCAGATATGTCTTGCCATTCAGGTCACTGGTCTGATTTCTTCCAAGCAATGACATTGTAAGTCTTCGTCTGCAGACTGTGCGCTTGCCAATTCTTCAAGTTCCCGTCCTGTATCTGCCGCTATCGTAATTTTTTGTACATCTTCTGTTTGTACTTCCTCTTCTAGTCAACTGTTTTTCTAGTCAACTCTTTTAGTATTTGCAACCTTGTAAACAAGGTCGACGAGAAAGAGTATCGGCATTGTTGTGGGAGGTTCCGGTTTCTTTCATAACTTCAGTCAAACTTTTGTACTTCTAAATCTTTGAAATTAAGCAGCCATTTTAATGCGCCGTGATTCGTTTGAAGACAAAATTTATGTTCTTAGAGGTACTTGTGGAAATATTTTAAGCAGCCATTTTAATGCGCCGTGATTCGTTTGAAGACGAAATTTATGTTCTTAGAGGTACTTGTGGAAATATTTTGTTGCCATGATCATCGCTAGTAATTCTTTTCTGGTTACGCAGTAGTTCAGGCATTGTAAGACTTTTCCAGTAATAGGTCAAAACCTTTTTTTCTTCGTCACCATGTTGTGACAAAACCGCTCCAATTTCACAGTTGCTTGCATCCGTATCTAGCACAAATGGTTTAGCACATCTGAATCTCGAACAATCTTTACAAACATTTCCAAAGCAGTTTTTTCTCTTTGCTGTGGGTTGTACGTAGGACATGACAGCAATATCTTGCACCAGCTGCTGTATTGACAGCAGGTCGCTGCGTCCGATTTCGTAACTGGGACTGATATAATTGCTTTATGTGTTCTTCCCTATAACGTAAATTCAACACATTTACCAGGACTTTATAGTTAGAATGTTTCTCGACTGGAATCGTTTGGAAAAGTTCTGCCGCTGACCCTCGTTGCGCTACCAAAAGAGCTGTAGCTCGCTCTCTTTCATTCCAGCCAAAATTTATTGCTGCTGCTTCAAACTGAGTTTTATAAATGGCACTTCCAATGTCTTCACGGTCACGCAGCTTACAGGTGTGGAGTTTTTATTTTCTTAGTTATTTCCAGTTCTTGTTTATGTTTATCTACTTTGCAAAATAACTTCTATTTGAGCCCGATAACGTTTTGATCAAATCTCTGTTCAATTTTTAACGTGATGTCTTTCATTTTCATCATCTGATTTTCTATTTTTGCATTGGTTACAGACGATTGCTGTTCAGCTTTGACGTCGAACTGTTCCTTGAGTTCTCGAAACAGTTGTGTTATTTTGGCATCAATCGTGGCCGACTGTTGTTCGATTTCGTTTTCTCGTCTGTTTTATTTCTGTTGACTGTTGTTCAATTTTTCCATCAATTTGATCTCTCATTTGTTTTATTTTTGCTGATTGTTGTTATATTTATGCTGATTGTTGTTTTATTTCAGCTGATTGTTCTAAAATTTTTGCATCAATTTGATCTCTCATCTGTTCAATTTTTGTAGGCTGTTGTTCAATTTTTGTTGATTATTGCTCAATTTTTGTTGATATCGTTTGAAGTAGTGCCATCAATTCAGTGTTTGCCCAAGCGTTTACAACTGCATTTGATTCGATATCCTGATCGCCAAATTCATCTGAATTCTCATTGTCATTTAAGAGGGCTTCCGTCAGGTGAGTTATCTAAACTACTTTGTAACTATTCTTTGAGTTGAACAAAATACCCAAATGTTTCAACAACGATGCTCACTTATTTTCCACCGAAGATCCCATTTCTGACAACAATGTTATTACTGACTCGGTCGACGACGAGTTCGTTTTATTCCCAATGGAAAATAACGACACGAAATAACTTTCAAACTATCGTATTATTTACAAATCGATAATCAATGTTAATCAATCAATAATTAACGGTAATTAAATTTACTAATAAAAGTTAATGTTCACAAACTATCAAATCAACATTTAAAAACAATCGCTTTCAATTTACTAATTTTTATCGCAAGTACAATAAAAATACAATGCAAAGTCAAATATCACATAATGCTTTCGACACTAAAAATCAATCGCTTTTCAATATCAAATATTCAACAACAACCATTTAAAATCGCGCATTTCTTTATACACCCGCCTCACCGACGCTTCTCAAACGTCATTGATATTTTGCTGTCAGAAGGTACTAGCGCTTCTAGCGAATATGTTTTTGACGGTTATAACAATATCTAAATATAGAAAACGAAAATGACAAAGTCACAGAAAAAATTATCAATATATATTTATTTCAATTAAATACTACAATAACATACAAAAAAGTTCAAAATAGTCGCTATATATCATTATGACCCGATCAATTAGAACATAATCATATCCTTCTTTCTAGTGACAATAGTAATCTTACTTTTTTTCTTGCTATTGACTTTTTCTCTGCTTTTGATAATGTTGATCATACTATTCTCTTGAAGCTACTAGATCATTCTTTTAATA